CCCCAAACCCTAAACCCTAAACCCCAAACTCTAAACTCTAAACCCGACTAAACCCTAAACCTGGCCTTTGGGCAGCGGCGGCTGCGGCGCTGCGACCTCCTCCGGAGAGCCCGGAGGGCCCTGCGGAGTCGCTGGGATCAACTCATCCTCCGAGGACTCCTCGGAAGCCTTGCGCTTTTAGGGGCTTCGGCTTCAGGGTTAGAAGCTTTGCGATTTCAATACAGGTTTAGGGCTTAGGATTTAGGGTTAGGGTTTGGGGTTTAGGGGTTTAGGGTTTAGGGTTTAGGGGTTTAGGGGTTTAGGGGTTTAGGGGTTTAGGGGTTTAGGGCTTAGGGTGTAGGGGTTTAGGGCTTAGGGTTTAGGGTTTAGGGTGTAGCGCTTAGAAGGTTTGGGATTTCAATACAGGGCTTTGGGGTTTAGGTTTGTAGGATACTGGGTTTCGGGTTGTGGATTTAAGGTCTTAAGGTTTTGAGGTTTACGGTGGCTCAGCACGCGCTCACCGTTTTCGAGGAGTTCTATTAGCTTTCCATAAACTACATGGGGTCATGGTCTCTTGATCTTCGGACCATGGGGTCAGAGGGCTTGCGGAGCTAGGACGAAGGTTTAGGACTGAACCGTTTCGAGTTGCCGGCTTCTTTGACCTTCAGGACCTGCAGAAGAAGTGGTGTTGAGGCTCAGGAATTTTGCATTGTGGCTTCGCTTCGATGTAGGGTTCAGGGTTTGTGTTTAGGATTGGGGTTTAGGGCTTAGGGTGTTGTCTTAGGGCTCGATCATGGGTAAATATCTATATCTGTCGGCCGAGAAGTATTCTATCTGAAGTAGACAATCTCAATCCTTCCCTATGTACCGTCTTTGCACGCGATGAAATGAGAGTAAAGGTGGCGAGTGCAAGCACCTACGGGGTAGGTTCAGCTCGCTGGGACGTTGGCGAGAAACCCCAAACAGCATTTGCCCGTTCGCAAGGAGTTCATTTCCAAGCAGGGTCTCTGACACCGTGACAACTTAACATGCCAAATATTCTGGCACGAGGAGTACGTAGCAGTTCTCTTGGGAAAACACAAGAAACTTGATGTTGATAGTATCAAAGCAAGTGTTGCGGTGCCGGAGCTCGAACATTCAATCTTGACAGACATGAGTGAAGTTGACTGAGCATCTTGTGCAGAAGACCTCACGCAAAGAAATTAGCTCAGATTAGGACTAGTGACTAGGTAACTTGGTGAGAAGATCCGTTCTGAGGATGAAAAACGGAAGTCCCAGCAGCATGAGGGCGGGAATCAAAGCAAAACCATGCACCAGTAGTATAGGCCTCTAGGGATTCCAAACCCTTGACCCCGAAACTGTAACCGTCAGCTTGTGCCGACAGGCTTACTTGGAGGATCATGGGACTTAGTAAGTAAGGTGATACGTACCTTACTTGGGGTTATAAGTATAGTTACCCTAATTCTAAAACAGGTTTTCGTGCCTCCGGCACTGCTGGCTTGGGTGGCTGCGGCGCGGGCTTAGGAGGGAGCTTTGGCACTGCCGGCAGAGGCGCAAACTTGGGCTTCTCGCTCGGTGCTGGCTGCTGGGCTTCCGGCATCGGGGGGGCAGGGGTGGCAGTGGCGGCGGCAGTTACTGGCATGGTGGGGGTGGTGTCCGGAACTGGGGCCGTAGCTCTCTGCTCCTTCTTGTGGGAGTCAGCGACTGGGGCTTCGAACAGCTCCTCTGGGGTGTCGTGCGGTGTCGGGGGTGCAGGCGCAGCGGCCCGTGCAGTGTCGTGGGGCGTTGGTGGTGCAGGAGCCGCAGCCCATGCAGTGTCGTGGGGCGTTGGTGGTGCAGGTGCTGCAGCCTGTGGAGTGTCGTGCGGCGTTGGAGGCGCAGGGGCAGCCCGTGCAGTGTCGTGCGGCGTTGGTGGTGCAGGTGCTTCAGACTGCTGCACTTCAGGCAGGGGTGGTGCCTTCGGAAGTGGAGCCTTTGGAAGCGGAGCCTTTGGAAGCGGAGCTTTCAGTGCTGCCGGTGCTTCTCGGGCAACTTCCTGATATCCGGCGGTCTCTGCTGAAGATT